CCCTGTGAGAAAATGCAGGATTTTAAATACTATGCGATTATCATTTTATGGTCTCAAGTGTAACTTCTCAAATCGACTTCCTTGCTACATCTCATAGACTATATACAATCTTTTACTTTAATGCCCATTTTACATTGGCACATAGTGATCGCATGGTGATCGCAATTAATTTTTAAAAGTTTATTTTACTATTTTTAGACGTTATCGCTGTAAAATCCCACAATACACATTACACGTGCGTGATAACACACCGCCACCTCACGTCCTCAGCACCACACTCAACAACGACAAAATAAAACACTGCCCGGCCGACGGCCCTTTTCCAACTACATTACCTACTACAATCATTCGACTTTTGAATTGCGTAGCTCGTCGCTCGTGCATCATTCAAATTTTTGATATTTACACTTGACGCCTCGTTTTTCGGTTTTTCGTTTTCGACATTTATTTTAATTTTGTTGATACTGTTATAACTTCCACTGTGTTAAATTATTAATTATCGATTAAGTACATTTTATAAATCATGTCTTCTAACCAGGTATTTATATAATTATAATTATTATGTAAGAAATATAGAATTGTGTGCTCTGCAAAGGTACATTATTTATGTTGTTAGTTATCTTAATTATTTTAACATAGCAAGTAATAATTTTTAGTGGGTAGTTGGATATTTCTCCGAGGAAAATAAGTATTCGGTTATACCCTACACTTGGATAGTAACATGTGGTACTTTAAGTATATCAAAATGGCCAAAATCTGGAAATATTAATACACTCATACAAACATCATGTGAGCCGGGAATCGATTGGCCAACATATCCAGTTAAAATTGTATCAGAATGTTTTAGTAAGTATTATATATTTCATTACTTAGTATATTATTAGTTTCATTTATTTAAGTTTAGAGATATTATATTTAATTTCATCACAATTTTACTTTTTTTTTTTAAAACATATTATTGTATTTAGGCAGTTATGATGAAGCTGCGGTCAAAGAACGCCAAATTTTTATATCTGCTTCAGCGTCGGAGTCCGAAGACCATGTTGCTAAAAAAAATAACAATAAAAGAAACAAGCATGACGACAGCAGTGATAGTAAGTTCAGTTAAACAATACATTACATGTATTTTTGAAAAGTTGGTTGTATAATTTTCAAAGATTGTTGGTGACTTAATTAACTTGTAATTTTCATATTTAGGATTTACCTATGATATTTTATTAGAAGTGCTGAAAAAAAAAATAAATAGTATTACCTATACTAATTATTCTTTACAAATTTGAAACATAGAAATTAAAAACCTTATGATACCTATCCATTTCTAAGATATAATATACATTTTATTGTATTATTCAGAAACGTTTTTGAAACTTCATAATAATTTTTATGTTTGGGACGGAGTTTACGTTTATTTGTTTGAGATAATATTTTATGATAACATAAACAATAGATAATAATATAGGACCTACTTAATAATTATTAATTAATATAAATTAAATTTAGAACATTTTGATTAGGTATGTTGGTAAAAATTTTTAAAAGGGTAGATCCGGTCTACCTGGGAAGTTAATTTTCATATAAGTAAAACATTAAAGTAATAAAATAATTATAATAATAATATTTACTTGATTATTCAGTAAAAACATCAATAATATATTATATGACTATATGAGTTTATATATACAATTTTAAAATGAAGTTATAATGTTCTTTTAGCATGCAGTAGTGCTTCACAGACACCTATTAAAATAAAACATTAAAGTAATAAAATAATTATAATAGTAATATTTACTTGATTATTCAGTAAAAACATCAAAAATGTATTATATGAATTTATTTATACAATTTTATACAGTTTTAAAATTAAGTTATATTGTTCTTTTAGCATGCAGTAGTGCTTCACAAACACCTATTAAAATATTTAAAACTAATTCCTCATCAAAAATCAGTTCAAAACAGTGTAAAATTGATTTGAATACAGTTTATGCAGAAGAGTCAACAGCTAATCATTTAAAAAATAATACAATATCATGTACGTATTTAATCATTAATTAATTATTCATATTTAACTGTTTATAATATTGAAATTCTTATGTTTTTAGCTGCTATGAATTTAATGTATAACACCGAAGACATAATGACCGAATATGATTTAAATGCTGCGCTTGAAACATCTTCGACTTATATGTTACCAGGTGTTTTAAAATCTTTATTTTTTTTTTTTTTTTTTAACATTAAAATAATTTGCCTTTTTTTTTCTTCAACAGTTCATTCAATACCTACTGAAACTCATGTACTTACAAATATGTCATCAACCATCACAAACACTAGAGAACCATTAACTTCTACACACAAACAGTTAGATAACTCCAAAACACAAAAAGATATTAATCAATCTATGCACGAAAACATTTTAATGACACTTGCATTTGTGAAGAGAATTGAAGGCAGATTGGATGGAATAGAAGCAAAGTTACAAAGCGGTATTACAGTTAATACAAACATAAATAATGATATATTGTCCCTACTTCCAATGAAGACTGTCTTGGATGTTCAAGATATAGAAACCAAGTGTACTACTGATACAAATTTTAAAAGTCAAATGGTAATAATAACTCTGATGATATAATAAATAAAAGTTGGTTGAACTAAAATATTTTAATAAAAGTATTTAATTTATATTTTTCAGAGGAATGTTATATTTAGAATTGGTGGAACAAATTCAAAAAACTTTATAAAAAGAACTTTACAAAGATTTTTTACAAACGAACTCTCAACCAAATATACTTGGACTGGCTTTAGACAGCATAATCACCTTCGTGGGCTTCAAATTATAGAAATGATCAAAGGTAGGTACACTTTAAGTAATTCCAAAATATAGTACAAAATTACAAAATTATATTTATTATTATTATACATACTAAAATAAATAATTATAATATATTTCAGGAATTGCTGTGGATAAGTTTTCATCGACAGAAGCAGATTTCGAGACACATGTGAAGGATTGGTTCAGACATGGATCTCAACGCTTTGGTCGAGAAAAAAAATGAAATATTACCATTTTGATGATAAATTATCATAATTTTTAATAATAATGTTTTATTGTAAGGTCCATCAAAGACAGATGGTTTTTTATTTTTAAATAAATTACTTATTGATTTTATCAATATTAATAAAATAAATATGAATATTAGTTTCTTCAAAATACTGATCATAAATAATATACCTTTGCAACATATATTACACATTTGAAATTATTATTAAAAGTATAAATGTAAGGCTGGGTAAGAAGCAAAAAAAACTATTTTTTAAACTTGTAAAAGTTACAAGTTAACAAGAAAATTAAAGTAAGTTAAAAATCAGTTTGATACTTTTTTTTATATAAAATTGAAAATTATATGTTTTTTAAAGCTTACAAATGTAATGGTAATTTAATAGAGTTCTTACAATTTTAAATGAATTTCTTTGAGTACTTAATATACACATTACATTTTAATACTTTAATTAATGATGAAATGCAACAAAAAAATCATTTCTAATCATTTGTTTACCTAACAATCCCCATATATCTAAATTATAGTTATCAAAAAAAAAAATAAAATATAATTACTTCTAAAAAAAATAATATGTTATCTATGTAACTTAAAATTTAAACTAACTTTAATTTTTTAATTCGGTTAATGCCCAGCCTTGGCTATAATAATTATTAAGGCTGTAGATTTAATGATAGTTTTTACTGATAATTAATTTTTACTGATGTAAGGTCCGAAAAAGAAAGCCAATTCAGTGTATCACTAAAAGACATTTTATGCGTCGTATAAAAGATGATGTATCCAAACAGATTTTCTTGGTCAACAAAAACTCAAATGAAGAAATAATCAGTCCAGAACAACCACTAAAAGATGATGATACACCAAGTCAATGCGAAACAGTTATAATTCCAGTTGAAAATAATTATACATCTACTGCTTCAACTAATGCTGGTTTGCTTCAATATACTCATGAAGAGGTCAATAGTAATAAAAACACAAACTATGATAATCCTATTTTAACAGATCATGATAAAAGTCATTATTTAAGTGAAAAGTTACGTAATTGGGTGATTAAATACCATGTTTCACATAACTGCGTTGATGAACTGTTGTTAATTCTGATATCTATTGGTTTAAAAGTACCAAAAACAGCTAAAACGTTTCTACAAACTCCTAAAGTAAACAGCCACAAAGTTAGTATTGTTCATCCTGGCTCATATATACATTTAGGTGTAGAGTTTATGCTTACTAAAATCTTAGCTCCTCATATATTTTGCCTTGAAAATAAGATCCCGATAAAATTAAGTGTTAACATTGATGGTTTACCATTAACATCCAGTTCAAAGTCCAGTTTTTGGCCAATACTTATATCTTTTGCAAATGTACCAATATTATTAAAAACTGTAGTTCCAGTAGGAATTTATCATGGTAAATTCACAAAACCTTCTTCGAGTCATGAATTTTTAAATCCATTTATAACAGAAATGAAAGAAATTATAAATAATGGTTTGTGTATTAATAATATTTTACTTAAATTTGAAATTTCCCAAATTGTGTGTGATGCTCCTGCAAAAAGTTTTGTATTAAATGTAAAAAATTTTAATGCCTATCATGGATGTAACTCGTGTACAGTAGAAGGTACTTTCATAAAAAATCGAATGGCTTTTTTAGAATTAAATGCTCCTTTAAGGTCCAATGAAACATTTAGAAATAAACTTGATGAATACTATCATAAAGATGTAAGTCCATTGGAAGAATTGCCCATAGATATAACGTCAACGGTAGTACTTGAATACATGCATAACATATGTCTCGGTGTTGTTAAAAAGTTGATTGTTTTTTGGACCAAAGGTAAAAAGCCTGTTCGACTAATAAATCCTGATGAAGTATCACAAGAATTAGTTAATATGAAATCTTTTTTACCATCAGAGTTTAATCGTTTACCTAGAACATTAGAAGAAGTTGAATATTGGAAGGCCACAGAATTTAGAACTTTTTTGCTGTATACTGGCCCAATAGTATTAAAAGGTCGATTAAAAACATCACTATATAAACATTTTATACTTTTAAGTTCTGCTGTTCGCATTCTCATTTCCCCTGAAACTTGTTTCACTCATAATTACTTAGCTAAAGATTTGTTGAAAAGATTTGTATGTGAATATTCATCTAATTATGGTGAAGAATATGTTGGTTATAATGTGCATGGGTTAATTCATGTCTGTGATTTTGTTTTGACACATGGTGCTTTAGATTTATTTAGTGCTTTTAAATTTGAAAATTATTTACAATTTATTAAAAAAAGTTCTAAAAATTCTAAAAATCCACTTGAAGATATTTATAATCGCATAATCGAACACGTAAATGCTCAAACTAATATTACTCCACAGAATTTCCCTATCCTTGAAAATGAATTGCCCTTTGATCATATAGAAAATAATTCAATAAATGAAACATTATATGAGAGAATTATTTTAAAACAATTTATTGTGAGCTCTAAAAAAGTTAAAGATTCATATTTTATACTTGATAATGATGATTTAGTCAAAGTCAATAAAATAATTCATTTTTTGAGTGGTAACATTAAACTAGAGGTAACTAAATTTATATATTCCCCTTTTTTTGTGAATCCTGTATCTTCAGATATACTTAAAATATTTTCTGTTAATGGAATTATACCTGAAGCTAGACTTTTAATTAATTTAAATGTATTAAAATATAAATGTTTTACGGTGCCAATTGATGAAAATAAATATATATCAATTGCATTGCTGCATACTGATTGATTTTAAACTTGTATTATTTACCTACATGATTAATTATTAGAATGAATATTATTCATTTTATACTTGTATTTTATTTATGGATGTATCTACCAAGGTATCTAACTATATATTTTTAATTTGTATAATAGGTAAATATTATTCTAATATTATTATGTTAGGTATTGTTTTTTTTTTTTATTTTTAGTTGAATTATTATTATTATTATTAAATAATTATTTGTGAAATATTAAAATTGTATGTATAATAAAACTACCTAACTAATAGTTTTTGATATTATTAAAGAACTTAATTTTGTCAACAGTTGAAATGAATACCTTGGAGGAATCCATTTGTTTTATTTTATTTATGTTTAATCCTACATAATTTAAGTTTAATAACTAAATAAAGTATAAATTTATATAATTATATAACTACATTACAAACTTAACAAAGTTGTCTGGTTAAGTAATAATTGGTAGTAATTATTACTTAGTAGA